TCTCTCTCTCTCTCTCTCTCTCTCTCTCTCTCTCTCTCTCTCTCTCTCTCTTTCTCTCTCACTAGCTTAGGTGACGCACGGCCCAAGTATTCGAAGCTCTTGGTTAACAATATAGTTACTGCAACATAGGCTTCAATTGTACAAATAGGCTTCACTTGTACAAATATTATCCAAGAAGCTACGGTTCCCTGTCGATGTCTTGGCCAAGATTAGCCGCGTCTTGGAGCATCACTAGATGAGGCGTTTTCTTTAGTCTCCCTGTGTGTTCATAAAAAATCGAGTCAGAAAATCGAAAATAAAACATTTAAATATAGGAAAAAAAATGTTCGATTGGTGTATTACAAGATGGTTCGTTAGACAAATGGCTCAGTCAGCCTCTTGCACATGTGGGACGAGTTTGGTTTAGTTATTAATGCTGATAATGATGATAAAGTGATACAACAGATGGCAATAGATGTTGATACGCACGACTTTTTTTTTTGTAAACGCGTGTACTTGATGCATTATGTAACACGGAAGCGGATACCAGTGGGTGGAGGAGGAGGAAGAAGAGAAGAAGGAAGAGGAGGAGGAAGAGGAGAAGGAAGAAGAAGAAGAAGAGGAAGAGGAGGGAGAGAGAGGAAGAGGAGGAGGAGAAGGAGAAGGAGGAGGAGGAAGAAAAAAAAGAGGAGGTGGAGGAGGGGGAGGAGGAACGGTAGAAGGAGGAAAAGGAGGAGGGGTAGGAAGAGGAGGAAGAAGAGCAGGGGGAAGCAGAAGGAGAAGGGGGAAGAAGAAGAAGAGGAGAAAGACGAGGAGGAGGAGGAGTTTAATGGCCTACTCCATCTTCATACCCTTGGCTCCCTCCCCCCGGTGCCCGGGACTCTAGTGATTAGCGCCTGTACAAACATTGACCTGCGTCCAGAACCGAACGACACCGATGTGCCCAAAAGCGAGCGATTCCGACCCTTACGGACGATTTTAATGGACTTTCCCCTCGACTTCCCACGGTGCCCAGGACCTTTGGGTAATCGCCTGTGCCGAGTCTGACCTGTGCCCAGAAAGTAACGGCAAAAGTGAAGTGCCCCCAGAGCAAGCAAATCCGACCCTTATTGTTAAATACTTTGAAACTACAAGTGAACTTATATTGTGATTATACTCAAAATGTTTGTCAAAAAATCCTTATTCTTAATTACTATGTTCGTAATTATTATTGTTGTTGATATCGCAGTTATTTTATGTTCATGATTTAATTGTATTGTCATGCCCAGTTTCCCCGACCTAACATGTGACCACAGGACCCTTGCCCTGCTATAAAACAGAAACTCTGTACTGACATTTCCCACCAAAATCAATGTTGCCATGTATTTATATATTTATTGAATTTTTGTGAACCATTCAAAATCTTAGAGAGCCGAAGTCACTCTGCCCTCAGCATCGGCTCGGTCAACATCTCTAGCTCCTGCAGCTCTGACCTAGAATAAACCCGTGGAACTCTGCCGATATTTTATTCACACATCAGTCGTAACCATTACAAGGAGGTGGTGGTGGAGGAGGAGGAGGAGGAGAAAAGGGAGGAAGAGGAAGAAGTGGAGGAGGAGGAGAAAAGGGAGGAGGAGGAAGAAGTGGAGGAGGAGGAGAAAAGGGAGGAGGAGGAAGTGGAGGAGAAGGAGGAAGAAGAAGAGGAGGCGGAGGAAGAAGAAATGGAGGAGAAGAAGAAGAAAGAAAAAGAGAAGGAGGAGGAAGAGGAAGAGGAGGAGGATGAAGAGGAAGAGAAGGAGGAGGAGGAGGAGGAGGAGGAAGAGAAGGAAAAGGAGGAGGAGGAAGAGAAGGAGGAGGAGAAAAGGGAGGAGGAGGAAGAGAAGGAAAAGGAGGAGGAGGAAGAGAAGGAGGAGGAGAAAAGGGAGGAGGAGGAAGAGAAGGAGAAGGAGGAGGAGGAGGAGGAAGAGAAGGAAAAGGAGGAGGAGGAAGAGAAGGAGGAGGAGAAAAGGGAGGAGGAGGAAGAGAAGGAGGAGGAGGAGGAGGAAGAGAAGGAGGAGGAGGAGGAGGAAGAGGAAGAGAAGGGGGAGGAGAGAGGCGTGACCAGAGCGTGATCTCATCTCTCTTCTTATGTCTCTCTCTCGCTATCTCCCTCTCCTCCTCCTCCTCCTCCTTCTCGTCATCATCCTCCACCTCCAACTCCATTTCCTCCCCCTGCTCCTCTTTCTCCTCCACCTCCACCTCCACCCTGCCTCCCCTTCAACCCCACCTCCACCTCCACTTCCACCCCACTTCCACACCCACCTCCACCTATAACCTCCACTTCTACCTTCTCCTCCACTCCCACCCCCACCTCCACCCCCCCACCTCCACCCCCACCCCCCCCTCCACACCCCCCTCCACCTATAACCTCCACCTCTACCTTCTCCTCCACACCCACCTCCACCTCCACCCCACCCCACAAGGGTTGAGAGAGAGGAGGGAAGAGAAGAGAGGGAAGAGAGAAAGGGGAAGAAAAGGGAGAGGGGAGAGGAGAAAGCATGAAGACAGGAAAGGGAAAGAAGATGGGCCGGAAGGGAAGGGAGAAGGACAGGGAAGGGAAGAGAGAAGAAGAGGGAAGCGAAATATAAGGGAAGAGAGGAGACAAAAGGAAAGAAAAAACAAAACAAAACAAAGGAAGGGAAGGAAGTGGATAAGGGAAGATAAAGAAGAGCGAACGAAAGGCAGAGAAAGGAAGAGGAGAGAGAATGACAGGAATAGAGAAGGAAAGAAAACGAAAGGGAAAAATAGGACAAGGGAATGAGATGAGGAGGAGAAGATAAAAAAAAGGAAAGGGAGAATGAGATGAAAGGAAAAGCAAGAAAATCAAACGAAAGGGGAAGAAGAAGAGCCAAGGGAAGAGAAAAAAGAAAAAAACGAACCAGAAGAAAGAGTAGGAAAGACAAAGAGAGAAAAAAGAACGAGAAAAAAAAGAAAGGAAGACGCAGATGAACGAAAAAGAAGTACAAGTGTGTCGATAAAAGTAGTGAGTGTAAAAAAAAGAGAAAGGAAAGGAAAAAAAGGAAAAAAGTAGCCAAATGGAAGGCGAGACTGCGAGAATAGCTGTGGAGGAAAGACTGGGTGTGGCCTTTTGGAGGAGGAGGAAAAGTAAGAGGAAGACGAGGAGGAAAAGTAAGAGGAGGAGGAGGAATAAAAAGACGTGGAGGAAAAGTAAGAGGAAGACGAGGAGGAAAAGTAAGAGGAGGAGGAGGAATAAAAGGACGTGGAGGAAAAGTAAGAAGAGGAGGAGGAATAAAAGGACGTGGAGGAAAAGTAAGAGGAAGACGAGGAGGAAAAGTAAGAGGAGGAGGAGGAATAAAAGGACGTGGAGGAAAAGTAAGAAGAGGAGGAGGAATAAAAGGACGTGGAGGAAAAGTAAGAGGAGGAGGAGGAATAAAAGGACGTGGAGGAAAAGTAGGAGGAGGAGGATGAAGAGGAGGACGAGGAGGAAAAGTAAGAGAAGGAGTAGGAGGAAGAGGAGGATAAGGTAGAAGAAGAGGAGGAGGGGGAGAAAGAGGAGAAGGAGGAGGAGGAGGAAGAGCAGGACGAATACGAGGACGAGGAGGAAGAAGAGGAGGATCGAGGAGTAGAAGGGGAAGGGGGAGGGAGAAGAAAAGGAGGAGAACAGGAAGAGGGGACGAGGAGGAAGAAGAAGAAGAAGAAAAAGAAAAGGAGAAAGTAGAGGAGAAGGAGGAGGAAGGTGAAGGTAAAGAGAAGAAGAATGAATGAGTTGGGGGCGGAGTAGGAGGAGGAGGAGGAGGAGGAGGAGGAGGAGGCAGAGGCGTGGAGGGGAGCGTCGCACGGAGAGAGAAAGAGATGGAGGAAGGAGGAACAGACAAAATAAAGAGCGGAGGGAAAGAGATAAATGGAAGAAGAGAGGAAGAGATGAAAGAAGGAAGAGAGGGAGAGACGGTAAGTGGAGGAAAAAAAAGAGACAGAGAGATGGGAAGAGAGAAAGAAAGGAGGGAGAGCGAGGTAGGGAGCTTAAGATAGGGGGGAGAGAGTGAGGGCGAGAGTGCGAGAGCTTCAGCAGTATTGCCAGCGCCCGGCCAGGTGCCAAGTGAACGGCGAGTGAATGACCGAACGGCCTTGCCCCCCACCCCTACCCCCCCACCACCCCCGCCTCCTTACACGACTCGGCTCCGGCTTCAAAACGTAAACAAACTGTCGCGACGACTTTTCTCTCGCGATCCAAGTCGGCGCTGTGGCAACTTCTGGGACTAGTCGCTGGAGGACAATCTTTTTGTCGTTTTTTTTTATTTCTTCTTATTCGTATTCAGGTTTTTGGGGTTTTTTTTTCTACTTTTTTCTTCTTCTTCTCCTTTGGTTTGTTTTTCTTCTCGTTTCTTTTCTTCCTTTCTGCTTAGCTTTTCTTTTCTTGCTTTTATCCTTTCAGAAATTGTCTTCCTTCCCTTCTTCCTCTTCTTCTTCTACTCCTTCTTCTTCTTCCTTCTTGCTCTTCTTTGTTTCGTTCTCCTTTTTTTCCTTTTTTTCTCCTTTTCTTTTTTTTTCTTTCGGTTCTTTTCTTCATTTTCTTTTTTTCTCTATTTCCCGTTCTCGTCTTAATTTTCTCCTTTCGTCCCTTCCTCCCCTCCTCCTCTTTCTTCTTCTCCTTCTTCTCCTTTTCCTAATTCTCCTTGCCATCTTCTATTCTTATTCTTCCTCCTCCACCTTCCTCTTTCTTTTCCTCATTCTCCTCCTCTCTTTCCTGCTCATTCTCCTCCTATTCCTCCTCTTCCCCATCTACCTACTTCTCTCCCTCCTCCTCCTAATTCTCTTCCTATTCCTCCTCTTCCTCATCCCCCACTTCCCTTCTTCCTCCTCCTCATTCTCCTCCTATTCCTCCTCTTCCTCATCCCCCACTTCTCTTTTTCCTCCTCCTCATTCTCCTCCTATTCCTCCTCTTCCTCATCTACCTACTTCTCTCCCTCCTCCTCCTCATTCTCTTCCTCTTCCTCTTCTTCCTCTTCCTTTCTTCATCTTTCTCATCCCCCCTACTTCTTTGCATCCTAACCTCCTACGCTTCCTCCCCCCCCCCCCCCTCCCCCCACTCCCCACCCTCCCCCCCACTCCCCACCCCTACCCCCACCCCCCACCATCTTTATCCTCCTTCCCTCCTCCTTTTCATCCGAATCAACACACGGAAATTCCCTTCACAACATTAAAGAGCCATCAGAGAAACCCTTTTGTTTACACTACCAGATACCATTACGTAATCTTGCGTCATCCCTCATAAAACGTAGACGCAGGAAACCACCACGGAGTGAGGCATTTGTTGGCGTGTGAGTGCGTTTTCATGTGCGTGGGTGTGGCCTCGTGTGTGTGTGTTTGTGTTTGGTGTGTTTGTTTGGGTGTGTGTGTTTGTTTGTTTAGGCGTGTGTGTTTGTTTGTTTGTGTGTGTGTGTGTGTCCGCGTGTGTGTGTGTCCGCGTGTGTGTGTGTTTGTTTGTGTGTGTGTGTGTTTGTTTGTGTGTGGGTGGGTGTTTGCATGTGTGTGTGTGTGTGTGTGTGTGTGTGTGTGTGTGTGTGTGTGTGTGTGTGTGTTTGTTTGTGTGTGGGTGGGTGTTTGCGTGTGTGTGTGTGTGTGTGTGTGTGTGTGTATGTGTGTTTGTGTTCCCGTGTGCGTGTGTGTGTGTGTGTGTACGAAAATGCACATACATACACATCCAGCAGACTCACCTCCGAGCCGCACTTCCTTCCCGTTCCTCTGTTCCTTCCGACGGGTCTTGTGCACGCCCACCTACCTTCTCATAATTCTACCGGCTCACTGCGCACCGCTCTCCTTGCTCCCTTTCGCTCCCTCTCTATCCTTGCTCCTCGCTGGTCGTCTCTCGCTCGTCCTCTCTCGTCCTCCTTTCGTCTCCTATTCTTTATTTCTCCCTTTCTCTTCTTTTTCTTCTCTCTTTCCTCGTGCACACCTTTCTTTTTCTTACATCTTTGTTTTTTCTCTATCCCTTATCCTCGTTGCCTCTTCCTCTCCCCGTCTTTTATCTCACTTTATCTCTTTCTCCTTTATTTCTTCCTCCTCCTCCCAAAGCCACCTATCTTCATCATCATCATCATCATTATCATCATTATCATGATCATCATCATCATCATCATCATCATCATCATCATCATCATCATCATCATCATCATCATCATCATCATCATCATCATCATCATCATCATCATCATCATCATCATCATCATCATCATCATCATCATCATCATCATCATCATCATCATCATCATCATCATCATCATCATCATCATCATCATCATCATCATCATCATCATCATCATCATCATCATCATCATCATCATCATCATCATCATCATCATCATCATCATCATCATCATCATCATCATCATCATCATCATCATCATCATCATCATCATCATCATCATCATCATCATCATCATCATCATCATCATCATCATCATCATCATCATCATCATCATCATCATCATCATCATCATCATCATCATCATCATCATCATCATCATCATCATCATCATCATCATCATCATCATCATCATCATCATCATCATCATCATCATCATCATCATCATCATCATCATCATTATCATCATTATCATGATCATCATTCTCTTCCTCTTCCTCCTCCTCCTCCTCCTCCATCTCCTCCTCCTCCTCCTCCATCTCCCCCTCCTCCTCCCCCTCCCCCTCCCCCCCTCCTCCTCTTCCTCCTCCATCTCCTCCTCCTCCTCCATCTCCTCCCCCTCCTCCTCCCCCTCCCCCTCCCCCTCCCCCTCCTCCTCCTCCTCCTCCTCCTCCTCAACTCTCCCCTGCGTCACAGTTCACTTCCTCCCCACTCCTCCTCTTTGCCTCACACCTGTTCCCCTCACACCCTCCCCCCCTCCACCCTCCCCTTCCCCTCTCCCCTCCCCTCTCCCCTCCCCTCTCCCCACCCATCCTCAAGGTCGCACACGCTCGACCAATGCCCCTCTTCCCACCTCTCCTCTCCACCTCCTCTTCCCTCTCCTCTTCTTTCTCCTCTTCCTCCTGCTTCCTTTTCTCCTTCTTCTCTCTCTTATCCTTCCTCCCTCTTCCTACCACTCCTCTCCAGCCCCTCTTCCCTCTCCTCTCTTTTCTTCTTTTCCTTCTGCTATCTCTTTTTTCTTCTCCTTTTATCCTTCCTCCCTCTACCCACCTCTCCTCTCCACTTCCTCTTCCCTGTCCTCTTCTTTCTTCTCTTCCTCCTCCTTCCTTAAATCTTTCTACCTCTCTCCTTCATCCTTTTCCCTTCTCCCTACCTCCTTTCTCCACCATCTCCCTATCTTTAATCGTCTCCTCTCTGTCTTCTCTCTTCCACATCTATTTTTTTTCTTCCTTATCCTTTCCCTAATTCTTACCTTCTTCTCCATACCCCTTTCGTTCTCCTATTCCTCTTCTCTTAGTATTAACACAATTGCTATTAACATCTCCAAACCTGCAGCATCTGTTGCTATTACTACTACTATAACTACGGTATGTAATACTAGTACTTTTCCTAATATAATT